ATAGGCATACAATTACAGCTTACAATTTATAAAATCTCTTCCTCCCAAACTAGGTGATCCTGTATTTTGGGAGTCAGTGTTCCCTCGTTGAGTGTTACAAAAGTATGAATGCTTATATTGCTAATTATTTTCTCAAATACTTATTGTGTTAAGTGACATTAAGGTTTAAAAAGACAAAAAGAAAGTGAGTATGACTAAAAGAGATAATTAAGGATGATGTATGTGGGTGTGTGTGTTAGTGTATGTGAAGGTTAGTGTTTGAAGCCAACATGTGATTTTCGATTTTGCTTGTCTGCGTGTTAAGGAATAGATGTGATTGATTTTGTGTGCTTTGTTATAAAGACGTGAGCTCATTACAGTATATTGACAGCTGGCTGAGGCTGTTCTGTGTGGAATTGGTTCACAAATTGGTTTCGTTTTTCTGTTTTTCTGGGACCATTTTGGATCATATGGCAGCGAACTATGTTTCCTCATGATGGTGCAGAGAACATAAAGCTGTCTCACTGTGAGTACTCGACATTCTTTTTACAGTTCGTTAGTAGGATAACTAAAAGGCTTCGAGGCTATTACTCTGAGAACAGCCCTCTGGGCTCTCTCCAGATCCAAGACTTTGCCCGCACCACCGAAACAATTTGTGCGCAAAAAGGATAATCCCACAAGAGCTCCACTTGTGGTATCAATCTCAATCTCAATCTCTACCAAATAACAAAGATATCGTTGACACAACAATGGAGCCAGATATTACAGAGGCGGGAGAAGAAGAAGTATTTATATGTCCACACCTATAAATACTGAATTCTTTTTTTTATAATATTTTTTTACATTGTTGTTTTCATTATTGCGAGCGCAAGGTTGTTTCACTTTTTTTTTGTTTTTCCTATTTTTTTGCATTAATTTCTTTAATAAATTTTAATTAAACTTATTACAATTGTTTAATTACATCATCATTATCATATTTAAAACAAAACTTATCACACAAGCTTCTAAAATTTAGATAGGTAGTATTTACAATACACATTTGGTGCTTGAACAATTAGTTCCAGTTTACTTAACTACGGTTATTTCTTTTGATAATGAGTTAAAACTAAGTGAAAAATCACTATCTCTGGTCGACAATTAACTAAATCAAAATTATCTAGAGATCGTTTAAAGAATAAATAACTAGTTTGATATTTTTAATTTTTCTTAAAAACGAAAACATTTTCTTGCGTTATAGCTTTTATAATATTAACTTTACTCTTTTTCCTTCAAATAGAAACTAAAAACATGACAATCGGCAATGGCTAGCTAAAGTTATAACGAATCTAATTTTTTAAAACTTTAAACTTCATTTTCTCGAAACGTGATTTTTCGACTTGATGACTTTTCGCTCTACGGGGACGATATCGACCTCATCGTTCGCTTGATACAATTGACGTGTAAAAGTGCTGCCTTGTAGCCTATTTGCAGAAATAAATTCACTTGTTTCACTCGTTTCACTATTTCTACTGGACCGTACTATGAAAGCAATAAAATAACGATATACTATTGGTATAGGGTATAGTTATATGATTGGTGACTTGTTCGTCCACGGGTCAAGGGACCAGTAGAATACCAGCGCGAGGCCCTGTCTTGCACATGCTGAACTGGTCCTATTTCACCGCAGACTTGGGACATTAGTAGATATTTATAAACTTATATGTAAAATCTGTTTGTTTCACTTGTTTTAGCGTGTGAAATAAAGTTTTTCTTTCTTTCTTCATGTTTTCTTTTCTCCCACAGATCTTACGTCCACGTCTCCACAGCCTACGCCAATGCTTGCCACAGCCGGATCAATTCTCAAGTTTTGGAAGACTTCTACCCACCCCCCGTGGAACCAGATATGATGATAGAACTCATAGACTCAATGGAAGAAGAACGATTAAATAATATCACACCCGGGTAAGATTAAAACCCTCTTATTTATAAGAGGTTCATAGTTAAGTAATTGATTGTTAGATGCTGTTGATATGATGTGATCTCTTCTTACCTTTATATCTTTTGACTTGTGGTCGGTACAATGCCTCTACTTCCATTGTTCCTTGCCCAACGTAAGCCTATTACAAACCGCTTTCTCTTTCATCTTGTTCTTTAACCTATCTTTTAATTTATTAATCTTCGTCCCGTAAGTTGAAAGCGGAATAATGATTTTTGGCTATGAGTGCCCAATTTCATAAAATCAGTTGAGTAATTTCCATGATTCTTGACTTAAAAATTCGTGTCACGTCAATGCTCTTACGACGAGAGTGAGTTGTCGTTCGACGTGGAGGACTAAGGGGGAGGCCTTTGTCCAGCAGTGGTCGTCTTTCGGCTGTTGATGATGATGATGATGAAATGCTCTTAACTATAAGGGTGCGTTCACATCTGGCAAATGTGCTTGCGTGCCGTTTTCGAGCTGCCCGCGAGTTGCTCATTCGCGGAACATTCCCCAGATGTAGACGCACCCTAAGATAGGTACAAGAAAATTATTTTATGTCACAATTAAAACTGACACACACAGTATTAAATTAAATAGGCCACGAAAACCGAAAACAATAATTATTTAAATGGATTTTATTTAAAGTATATTAGTGGGTTAGAAAACTAAATATTCATAAATCTAAATATTATACAACTTAAATAATATATTATACATTCGAATACATAATTACGAGGTAATCAAATCAATACGATATTGGATATTTTAATACATTAATATATTAAAACTTTCGTTAGATCGTCACGTAATAATCAATACATTAATATAGTTTTGTATCCTGTGTCGCACTCTTACCCATTACTGTTTATTTATTTAATTTAGACTAAGAAATGATGTGAATATAGGTACTCGTGAATAATGTATGTATCACAATGATTTAATGAAATTAAATATATAAAAATGAAATTAACCACTTTATTTACTCTTTGGTTTTACTTTACATAATGTATTTATAAGGAAAATACATTAAGTTCCATTGTTAAGTTACTTATTCTTCTTTTGGTGCTAAATGGCGTGTAAAAAATATGTATAATCATCTCATCAGCTTAAGAAGATCATATTTCGACTAAAAGACTTCTATTCATATTTATACATGGCATACCATATCGATAAACCTCTAAAATACCCATAGACACTATCCAGGTATCTCTGCAGGGCCCTCTGCAGGGCTACGAACTCCCTTCCTTCGTTCCACTCCACTCTGTGCAACAATATTATGTTTTTGTTTCCAGCTTGATCGAAAACTGGCCAAACACGTACTGCTTCACAAAAGCTGTTGCTGAAGAAGCAGTGAGGGCTCTGAGTGGAGACCTCCCAATCTGTGTGGTCAAACCTTCGCTAGGTAAGCCTTCTATGTTACATAATTGATCCATAACCATATGATGTCGGTACCTGTGTGGTAACGGCAGAATACAATTTATTTACTACTACCCCTGTTCGTCCCGCTAGAGACACAAGAATAGATTAAGGGTAACTGTCCACGTTGTGTCATTTGACGAATGCATGCATCCTTCACAAACAATAAAGCCTGCAAACAATGCTTGCATTTTGCTTAGAAACAATGAAAACTATCCACGAAGTGGCAGCGACAAATCCGCCAATCAGGTGTCTTTTAGAGAACCCGTGTCCCTTACAGGTGGTGAAGGTAGCCACCGAGGTGGTTTTAGTAAGGTAACAAAACCCACACTCCCTACTCTTTTATCCTCAAAAACATTAGCACCGTCTGAAGCATTCCACCAGTCATCGAAAAAAAAACAGGTCTAAGCGACTATAAGTCTGCAAAAACCGAGCAGTGGTAGTCTTTGAACCTGAATCTTATAAACTGCAATCACCCACCAGTCAAAAGCTGATTAATAGCATACTCTTATGTTGTCTCCGGCCATCGTAAGCGCGGGCCTGCGGACGGTGAGCATAGGTGGCTCGCCGCCCAACCAGAACTAGACCCGAGCGTACGGCGCGTCGCATTACGCTCGCGCCCCGAAGAGCCATAGATGGGGCTCAATATCAGCTGTATCGGCATATGCAGCCGCGGGGAAATGAACGGGTTACTAGAGCTCCGGCTCGAAGTTCAGGAGTAGGAACGGGGTGGTTTTTAGTCAGTAAGAGTCTGACACTCCCTCCCGCATCACCCAGGTGGGAGAAGTCATTAGATGATTTTAATGTCCGTCTGGTAGATTAATTATAAAAATTACACACGTATTTTTTCTTTTCTTACAAAATTAAATACTAACTTTCGACGATATAATAATCTGAAATATCGTGTGACGTCACAATACGCTACATTTTGTAGCACTTAGTGACGTAACGACCTCCCACTCCTAAACTTAACTCCATTTTATCGAAGTATTGTAATTTTATACGAGAAAATAAAAAAATTCGTGTCTAATATTTTTTCATTATCTAAGTAACGGACTAATTAGATTTTTAATTTTCACTCCCTGGCAACTACCCCATTACTTATAAGTAAGAAATATACATGATAAAATGTTTGTTTCAGTGATTGGTGCCTTGAATGAACCGCAACCAGGTTGGATAGACGTGTCTGCCGTGTATGGAATTACCGGTGTAAGTTAAATCTATTAATACATAGTTAACTGGTCGAGTACCGTCATTATAGACACCATTATAGAACAATAGGTTGCGGTCACCGGTGACCGCTTGGTGTTTGACAGTTTAACTCGTCGAGTACCGGTTTTGTAGACACAATTATAGAACAATAGGTTGCGGTCACCGGTGACCGCATGGTGTTTGACAGTTTAAGACTGCCTCGTTGGCCGAGTAGTCGCAAGTGCGACTGCCGAGCAAAGGGTCTCGGGTTGGATTCCTGGGTCGGACACAGTATTACTGGGTTTTTAAAAATTCTCAGTAGTAACACGGAATTTGGAACTGTGCCCGGTATACAGCAATAGGCTCACCACCTATTACAAGACACATAACATAAATAATGAAAAGTGGGTGTTACTTTGTACAGTGGCATATTGTGCATCTCTGCCTACCCCTTCGAGGATAAAAGGCGTGATGTTATGTTATGTAACATAGTAAAAAAGGGTTTTATAAAAAATAAAGTTCAATTAATTTGATGATCATTCAACCCGCCATCTAAGTGTGAAGATTGAGGTATAGGCCATATGGAAGGTCCATAAAAGATAGTTCAATAATGAACTGTCGCGGACTGTAGTTGATGATGGTGAAATTGACGAATTTAACTGCGTGGCTTCGATTCTCACACGATACAATTATTTGGGTGAATTACACATTGAAGTCAAAACACTAGATTAACCATTCAGTCGAAATAAAATATGTGTTGATTAAGATCAAACTTTTACAGGTTAGTATAGGAGTAGGTCTAGGTCTAATGCACACGTCGATGACAAACGGCAAAGTTCACTTGGGCCTGATACCAGTGGACTACGTCAACAATGCGATTATAGTCGCAGCATGGGAGACTGGCAAACGAAAATCAACCAAAGACAAGAAGCCTAAAGTCTACACTGTAGTATCGACCACGAGAAGCCCCAAAAAGTGGAGTAAGTATTTTTGGAAACAGATTTAAAAGAAAAAAAAAATTTTGTATGAAAATCCTCCCTCAATATCCCCCAAACGGACCTATTGCCGTCACTATACCGCTCACTGTCTTCTACTTACTGTCTAGAACTGCAAAAATGGTCAATTAAGTTGATTGCGTTCTTTAAGTAGATTAAATAATAACATTGTTTGCTTGAAGCATACTTTCAAGATAAACCCCAGAGTCTATTAAAATGATAGATTACCTATTATATAGATAAAGTACAAATGATTGCAAATTCTCGGATTTAGGTGTCACTTTACGCCTTTACTCGCCAATGAACATCTTTCTGCTGGTGATGATGAATCAATTCTACTATAAACTACTGGTCTGCCCCAGCTTCAACGTATCAACTCTTTCTTCTATCCAAACTTTATCCTAATAATAACGAAAACGACAAAAATATATCCAATTTTGATACAGTCATTTGACAGTTAGGCTGCGATTTCAATGACGCGGACCTGTGTGGAGAAGAGCGGTAAAGAGCGATGTATAGTGGTCAGTGTTTCCACTGAAGCGGAGCGGACTGAAAAGGAGCACAGCGGAGCCTACTTTTGGACGCGTATTTTTGCGCTTAGTTACAATTTCAGAAAGACCATACATCCGTTTGCCGTTTAAAAAGAAAAAAAAAACAATCATTTTATACCTTTCTCTACTTGAAAATGAAGATAATGAATCAGATGCCGTAGCATTGATTGTTGCCCCTGCTGCCCTCCGCACAGCACTGGCCCTATGTCCTCCGCTTTGCACCCCAATGCTCATTGTCCTCTGCACCACATCCCTATATTTTTATTATGAATATCCGCTCATCTCTGCTCCATCCCACTCATGCTGTTTCTATTGAAGTGATTGATCAATTCGTGCACCGCTAAGTTCCTGTCCGCACCGCTCCGCGTCAGTGGAAACCCAGCCTTATAGACGTACATAAAATTCCATTTTTATTAACATATTTTTTTTTTTTATTATATAGGTGATCTCAGCAAGCTGTTAAAGGAATTAACAGTATGGAAGTATCCAACACCAATGTCCATGGGCTACAGCTTGTATCTCCAGACGAGGATTCCATTCCTGTACTGGGTATATTCCTGGCTGTTCCATATGATACCAGCTTACATTGCTGATGGTATTTGCTCAGTTCTTGGGAGGCAGAGAAGGTGAGTTTCACAACGTTATCAATTAGTAAATTGATTTCGATATAATTTAGGTTTGAAATGGCATCGTTTTTAAAAATTCGTAGAAAGAATAGTCAAAGACAAACTTACAGTGTTATTTGCCAGTTATGATTTTATAATTATAATATTTGAACTCTCTCTTGCAAGAGAAAGATTTTCTATCTATGTCTCTCAGTCTCTCTCTGTCTTTAACATTAAACTACGCCTTTTATCCCCGAAGGAGTAGGCAGAGGTGCACATTACGACTCTTAATGCCACTGTACTTAGAATGTAACACCCACTTTTCACTATTTATGTTATGAGTCCCATGTAATAGGGGGTGAGATTCATCTCTGTTCTTTAACATTCGTAAAAACTGTTTCTATTCAAAAATATTTCTTATTAGCTGTTGCACGCGACTTCACCCGCTTAGAATATGATTCCTATTTTATCCCATGGAAGCATTTTATCACGATATATCGTATCACCTAGTTCAGCTTGTCTGTATACCAAATTTCATTAAAATCCGTTCAGTAGTTTCAGCGAGATTGACAGACAAACATCCAAAAACAAAGAAACTTTCACATTTATAATATTAGTTTGACTAGTTTCCTCCAGCGGCTTCACGCGCGAGGTCAATGAAAATTAGACTGAATTTGTGACACGATAGAAAAATCAACAAACACACCTGTATCATATTTTCAATTTCAATTGATTAACATTAAATTTTCACTTTCAGATTCGTGAAATTATACACAAAGATGACAAGACTGATGGTGACTTTATCATACTTTACTCTCAACGACTGGCATTTTGCGGACAACAATACGGAAGCCTTATATGACAACCTTTCAGCAGCTGACAAAGAAATTTTCAGTTTTAACATCGACAGGCTTAACTGGACTGAATTCATGTCGTCATTTGTTATAGGAGTTAGACAGTATATCCTGAAAGATGGCCTTGTTAATACTAAGTATGCTATCAAGAAAGTGAAAGTTTTGAGACTTCTGACATATATTGGAACCGCCATTTATTTGTATTTGTTGTACAAAATCGTTTGTTATTCGTATTCTAGTTTAACTTTTGCTGTTGGTAAGGTGTTTTAATTTATATTAGTGTTTATATTTTAGGATACCTAATGTAATTTATTTAAGAAGTAAATAATTATAAAGTATTTTTCCTGGGTTTTCTTTTGTTGAAATCAATCGTTTCCATTCCATCGCTAAGTGTGGGAGAGCCATGCTTCGGCATGAATGGGTCGGTTCGACCGGAGTGATACCACGGCCTCACAGAAAACCGACGTCAAACAACGCTTGCGTTGTTTCGTCGTGTGAGTGAGGTTACCAGAGGCCCAATTACCCCCTCCCTAGTCACCCCCTCCCAAATCCCCGAATCCTTCACAATCCTCAAATTCCCAATTCCCAAAAGGCTGGCAACGCACTTGTAACGCCTTGGAGTTTCGAGTGTTCATGGGCGGCGCCGATTGCTTACCATCAGGTGATCCGTCTACTCGTATACCAGCTTATCCTATATAAAAAAAAATAAACCTTAATGATTAATGAACTCTATTCTTAAATTGTCCTTAATTGCAAACGAACCATATAAAGTAAAAGAATTATATTTCTAATAATTATAATAATCTTCAAAAAAAAACTAGTTTCATTCATCGTCCCTACACTAGAGGTACAAAATACTCCACTCAAACTAGCAATACACATTTCCGAAACATTACACCAACGTCACTACTTACAAAATCCCTTTACATTCGCCATTGCTCACAAAATAATACATTGAAACTCCGGAATTCCAAAAGCCTTTCGTACTCCACTCTAGGGTCAAGAACAAGCTTCTGTCACCCGAATGATGACCCCAACCGCTCCGTAACGATCGCCCTATCTCATTCTAACCTTAACAAACCCCATATATCTGTCTCTGTTATTACTCAACTTGACAGCTCGCACTCGGAACTGAATGAGCGCAATTGCGATTTTTTTTTCTTACTTTTTTTCATGTATGTTTGGTTCGACTTGTGGTGTTTAAAATGTGATAAAATGGATTTTTATGTAACCCATATGCGGGTGAATTGAGGTTGGAGTACGTGGGGGGCGTTTTTGAGGTCAAGTTGTATTGATGTTAAGGGTCTTGGATGACCCGTGTTGGCTGGTACAGAGTTCATTTTGAGGTTATGGTATGTTAAATCATAAATGTATTTTTTTGATTAATAAACTCCTCATTGTGAAACGCTTTGATTGGACAGTTATAACTATGTATACGGTTTTCTAATATTAAAACGGCAAAAGATTGGATGTAATTTTTTCAATTAACTCGTCGAATACCGGTTTTGCAGACACAATTATAGAACAATAGGTTGCGGTCACCGGTGACCGCTTGGTGTTTGACAGTTTAAGTCAGAATGTGTTAACTATGGGAGAGCCATGCTTCAGTACAAAAGGGCCAGCTCGACCGGAGTGATATCACGGCCTCACAGAAAACTGACGTTAAACAACGCTTGCGTTGTGTTTTGTTGTGTGGGTGAGGTAACCGGAGGCCTAATTATCTCCTGTCTTTAATCTCCCCGATCCCTAAATACCTAAATTCCTAATTCTAAAAAGCAAGCCCGGTAACGCTCTTGTAACGCCTTTCGTGATCTGGGTGTCCATGGGCGACGACGATTGCTTACCATCAGGTGATCCATCTGCTTGTTTACCGGTATATCCTATAAGAATATAAAAAAAATGGATTCACGAATCTGGATGAAAGTTAACCACAACGATAAATTATAGTCTGGAAGACTTATTTATAGCCCACTTTTTATCCTAGTAACACTAGCGACGCCACTGGCAGAATAACCTCACTTTATTGACAAATAAGCTTGATATAAAGGTTTAAAAACTATGTCAGTTTAATGAATTCTTGAACAGATATTTCAATCTTTGAACAGATATTTCAATTCTTGAACAGATATTTCAATCTTTGAAACAGTGAACCCGTACTTTAAAGAACAGCTTTCATTAATTATTGTATCAAATTAGTCACGTTACTATTATTCAATCAGGTAACTCGACGAATTTCAGGCCACGCCAGGGACCTTTAGTCATTAACATTTTACTCGACAACTCACGTAACCTAGATGGTTTTAATTTATAAACATGTAGCTCACATGAAATTCTTGACTTCTTCCGAATTAGGTATATGTACCTACTTTCTAAGATTATTTAGACAAAACTGACAAACGGTGAAGGAAAACACAGTGAGGAAACCTGGGCTTATCAATACATCATCAATACATAGTATAAAACAAAGTCGCTTTCGCTGTATGTCCGTATGTATGCTTAGATCTTTAAAACTACGCAACGGATTTTGATGCGGTTTTTTTAAATAGATAGAGTGATTCTTAAGGAAGGTTTGTATGTATATACATAGTGCGAAGCCGGGGCGGGTCGCTAGTAATTTCTAAGAATAAGTTTGAAATCGCCAACCCGCAATGAACAAGCGTGGTGATTAATGCTCAAAGCTTCTCCGTGTGACAAAAGACCTTTGGTCAGCAGTGGCCACTTGTGGGCTGTTGATGATGATGATAACGATGATGATGATGATAACATGAAATTCATAGCACGGTAAATCGTATCTTCCATCAAATACTAACTCGTTTACTTCATTTGGTTTAGTTCATTTTTGAACTCCAAATGGTTGTGAAGCTATCTTTAATCCAATGTTACAAATTATAGCGTTCGTATCATTCTCTTTTATAAATAAAGTCATTTCCCGCCGCCGAACGAACTACTGGCCGGGTTACGGACCAAGCAGGTGAAACAGAAGTTCCAAATTAAACTACAATATCTTCAACCAAAACGTAGTGCCAATATCAAATAAATAATGCCAGGGAAATTAAAATAATATATTATTAAGAATTTCATTGAGCGTTGTTAATCTATTGTACCAATAACACTGGCTCCAAAAGAAAAAAGTACCAAGTTGATTGATTCCAATAATAACTCCTCATAATAACGGCGAAGCCGACGTGAAACAACGCTTGTGGTGTGTTTCATCGTGTGAATGAGGTTACTGGAGGCCCAGTTATCTCCCCCCCCCCCCATCCAATCACACTTCTCCTCCCCCACAATCCTCAAATTCCGCAATTGTAATACCTTTGGTATTCCGGGTATCCATAGGCGACGTCGATTGCTTACCATCAGGTGATCTGTGTGCTCCTTCACCGGCTAATCCCATAAACAAACCTAGTCGATGACAAGGTTGAAAACTTGAAGCTTTGCCTACTTATGCAACTTCTGCATATATGCAGCAATAGAAAAGAGTCGGCGCACTCATTAGAGAATATTTTTGTACAGCAACAAACGTCTAGTAGTTAAAATTATATGATAATCGTGATAATGACTCATGCAATAATGATAACACCCTCATATTATTAATTTAACTTTTAATAATCAAATTCTTTTTGGACCTTCTGATATACTGATACTACGTTTCTCAGTTATATGTCGAGTGTTAGGTATTCGCTATAGCGTGAAACTTTCAGCTTACACGCTAAACTTGCGTCACGGCCACACCTTCGGGGCAGGTTTCACAGTAACACGGCGCCGTGTTGGTTTGAAAGCCTTTGTTTTATCTTGATTACTGACGACAATCTGATTTGTTGTAAAATGATAGTTGTAGTCAGTTTCATTGTAAGCTTGTTTTCGTTTAGTTTTTAGGTGATAGTGAATCAATTTTAATTTTTTACAAAATTCTGCTTTATATTTGGAAATATGAAAGTGAAATCGTTTTGTTATGTGAATGTAACAACTGCTCAAGACATCTGTGAAAACTTAATCTTCTCGACTGTATTGTAATTTCTATTCATCATCATCATCGGTTCATTTACATTCCCCCGGACACTCTCTTTTTTTTATGGCATAAGCCGGTAAACGAGCAGACATATCACCTGATGGTAAGCAATCAGCGTCGCCCATAGACACCTGGAACACCAAAGGAGTTACAAGTGCGTCACCGGCTTTTTGGGGATTAGGAGTTTGAGGATCGTTGGGGATTTAGGGATTGGGGAGATTGAGGGAAGGGGAAGGTAGATATAGATCTCTCCGATAGATTTTTTATGCTGACCTGGATTTACCTTAATATTCCACATTCTGGCATCAATATTAAATGCTGTCTAAGAGGGTATTGTCCTAAATTTAGCTCAGAGTTCAGACGGTGAAAAAATTCTAGTATAAACAAGCTATTTTGAAAATTAATGTTTGTGTCTAGATCAATCTTCGAAATAGCCGTCTTGACTTGTCTGCAGTCACAATTTATAAACAAGTCACCGTTTTAATGTGATTTTAGAAACTCTCAAATCAAGATCTTTCGCATTTTTATCAATTTGATTGTGAAGAAAAAATCCCAGTGTCGACCCAAACTGGGACAAAGTATCACCAATCCACATTGAGCGAGCAAAGTGTGGTGATTAATACTCAAATCATCTCCGTGTGAGAAACGATCTTTGGTCAGCAGTGGACAGTTATAGGCTGATGATGATGAATGATGATGATGCTTGGAACTATGGAGAGTTCTACTATCCAGTCTATGTCAAATATGTGTAGTCCCTTAATCGGCTCTTACAGCAGTCACGGGAAGAGTATAGGTGGTGAAATGGGGCCTACCGAATTTTTGCTCACTTGATGACGCTAGTGTGAACCCCTCGTTCTACGTCCAATGGGCCAGCTCGACCGAAGTGATATCACGACCTCATAGAAAACCGACGTGAAACAACGCTTGTATTATGTTTCGTCGTGTGAGTGAGGTTACCGGAGGTCCGGTTACCCAATCCCTAAATCACCGACACCAACAATCCTTAAATTCCTAATCCCCAAAAAGCCGGTAACGCACTTGTAACACCTCCGGTGTTTCAGTTGTCCTTACGCCATTGCTTACCATCAGGTGATACGTCAGCTCGATTAACGGGCTTATTACATAAAAGAAAATTTTGACAGCTGCGGTAATTAGACAAAAATACTAGTTGTTAGATTGACACCATGTAGTGACAAAAAAACGATAGCCCCCATTGTGTATGCTGGTATTGATTTTGTAATGTATGTGATTCTGTAATAGTTGTAGTAGTTGTAATAGTTTGACATTTTTTGTATTAAAATTA